CCACTTCCCAGAATTCTCCTCTCTCCTTGTCCCACCTACTTCCTGCCTGGCCACTGGCCAATCAGTGTTTTATTTATTGACCAATCAGAGCAACAGATTTGACATACAGACCATCCCACAGCACAGCATGGGATTCAAATATATTTTTAAAAGTTGAAAATGATCTATAGTATCTACTAGCAAAGAATAAGCAAAGTGGATGTCATTAAGAATTCTGCATAATAGATCATTTCTGACATTTTCCTAAAAGTTCTTATTGCTATTTCATAAATTTCATTTAGCTATATTGACTGAAAAAATGGCCAACATGAGCAATCATTTTTTTTCTTAAAATTGGACTGCAGTTATCATTCAGCTGGAAAGAAAAATGTAGTAGAATTATACAATGAAATTAGAGTGTCATGTGTCTAACCAAACAGATGTACAAAAAACTACCCAGGACACCGGTGGATAGAGTCCATAAGATAGGCTTTCCTGAGAATTGGGCTTTTGATACTACTAGTTCATTGGCATATTAATGAAGGAATTTAATAACTAACCATAATATTTATTGGTCAAGAGTGAATCGCTATCAACCCACTCAGGAATAGTTATGGAATAATATTAATAATTTTGTCAAAAATATAGAATGCAGACTTTCTAGAGGGGTGATGACTAACTGGACTCTGAAGATGTCTTTAGTGCTATAATAAGAACATCTGATGTTGCATGGGTCCAGATTTTATTTGAAGGACAAGATAATTACAATGTAAGAGTCAGAGTAAAATATAGCCCTAAACTTCCCAAACTCTTCCAACGCAGGTGGTTCTCTGTGGTGGTCCTGGGAAACATACTTCTAATACTGTATATTTTCCATTGTATTTTATCAATTTGCACACTGTTAGTTTCTGTGTTTGTTAACACAGTAGGAGATTCTATGTCTTTTGTAACACTGAGTATGGAGCTGTGTATAACAGGGTACAGTGCATACATGTGCATAGCAATATATAAGGAGACAACATAATCATGATGCTATGATGCTTCTAATTCCAAGGGATGAATGAGCTGACAGGCAAAACAAATGTCACAGGCCTGATTTCTGTTTCTCAAAAACACCTTTTGACAGATCAAGTTATTTGAGTATCATCCAAAGACAAAACCCTAAGAAATCTTGAAGTTGGAAAAATCATCTACTGCAACTCCAAATGGTATTTATTAGATAAGTAAGAGCCAGTAACTATTTTAAAATAAAAAAAATTAGGGCCGGAGTGATTGCTTAGTGTTTAAGAACATTGGCTGCTCTTCCAGAGGACTTGAGTTCAATTCTCAGCACTCACATGGCAGATCACAATTGTCTATAACATAAATTCCAATGGATCTCACTCCTTCATACAGACATACATGCAGGTCAAATACCAATGCACATAAAATAAAAGTAAATTATTAAAAAATTAAATTACATTTATGTGCATGCTTGTGTGTATGCATGTTTATGTGTTTGTGTGTATGTATAAAACTTAGAACATCTACAGCAAAAAGTTAATATCAATCTGTAAGAAGGATTATCAATGCTTTTTAGTATCTTCTTTGCAATTTTTTTATGTTTAATAATTTTTACAATGACCATATTTTATTTATATAACCAGGAACAAATGTAATTAAATAAAAATTAAAACACAGGCCATCTCCACAGCAAACCTAGCAATGAACTCTGAGGTATTCCAGTTATAAACACTTAAGTAATTGGAAATAGAGGATACCATATAAAGTAGTCACCAGGGGATTCACTTTGAATAAAAAGCCCAAGGAGCTTGTTTCAGATTGTGTCAACTTTCATGTTACTAATATAATTAAAGCAAGTAAATCAGGTGGGCAACATGCCAGTCACCCTTCACACACACGTCACAACTGTCTGCGTGTTCACTCTCTTCACCTTGCTCAATTTTTACAGTTTTAATATGAATATCAATTCTCTTTTTCATAAACCTAACCTATAAATGCCACAACCCCTTGGAGGGATTTCCTCAGGCTTCATTTTAAGCTCCAAAGAAAGGATGTAAAAGAGACTTTTCTTTTGTAAAGTGGTTCTATAATTCTGTCCAGTATCCATCATTTTCAAGGCCAAGTAATCATATTTAATAGATCCTAAATTACATTCTGTCAAGCAAGGATTCCCTTGATGATATTAACCAGTACGGAGGGCTGACGGTCGGAGGCCTGCAAGTATGACATTGTTCTATGGCGGGCTCACACATGTTCCTTTGCAGGAGCTGACCCTACGAAGTCTGCAGTGGTGCAGGACCCCAGCCTCCATCCATCTTTAGCCTTCCCGGAATTACCTATAAACTCTCCCCACCCCCTGATTTCCTGTCCTAAAAATCACTTTTAAAATTTAATTACTTGGCACAGTTTTGACCCTCTCCTTTGAGGAAATTACCATCATGAATTTATTTTTACAATCGTACTCCCGCCAGACAGCTAGAGGTGTAAGACTCTGCCTACGCTGTGTCCACGGTGAAGAACTGGAAAGATAAAAGGCTCAATCGTGGAGGATGCTAGAGAGATGCCCTCATTGCTTGTGCCGTGTTATCCCAGTGTCACGAAGTCCAAGTCTGTGGACATTTTCTTGACAGGAAGGTAAGGCCATGATGCCAGAAACGATGCACTTCACAGTAAACACAGGAACGGGAAGCATTGTGAACCAGATTTCCACTAAGGGAAAGTTCTCATCACTCTGTGTTGGAGCATCTTTATGGGGTTAATGATTATTTATAATGAGATTTTTGTATCTCAAAGGCATTAGGGAATAAAGATAAGAAGAAATTAAAACCTCACTCTTTCCACAAATTAAGCAAGTTCAAGCTTTTCGAGATTCAGTGATCAAAAACCTCAAGCACAGATCTTTCTGTTAGAGCACATCTTCTTTCGGAATCCACATACTGAGATCAGGCTATGTGGCCAGCCTCTGGTGCTCATAAGCCTCAACTCTTCTCACACTTACTCTGTAGACTGTAGAGGGATTCTTTCCAGGGTTATACCATGATGCCTGCCTGCAAACCAGCCCCTTCACATTCCTGAAATCTGAGGATGGCTTGGACTCTAAGGATTTGGAACACATTCGTTTTTTGAACGAGCTGTCTCACCACGTAGAATTGATGGTTATTTGCTCTGGAAAACAGGACTAATCCAGTTGCTCCAAATGTCAAGATATATGGATTTTGAAGCTCTTGTTTAAAGACACTCTTAAAATACTGAATGGTACAGCAGGACCTACATAGAATAATAAGTGAGATGAGGCCAAATTAGTAGAAGAAAAAATTGTGAGTATATATTTGTTTTTATAATCCGAGGGATAAAAATTACTTCACACAGAGCCATGGATTCTCTCTGGGCATTTTTCATCTTTCTCTTCCCCCTTTTTAAGTTCTTGTATTTGTGGCTTTCCTTTGCTCCTCATCACATATAGTTTTTCTTCTACTCAGAGCTATGCCTTCTCATTTATATTTTACCTTCATTCTTTCCTGGTGTTTTTAATGTGCTCAAGGAAAAAAATATAAAATAAATCCAGCCTCCATGCTTTCCTTTTAAATGTAATAAAGCACGGGTGCAAAAACAGAGGGCAGGAATCACTTGGTTTCATGATTGTTCCTTCTGTCTTTCGGCACCATTGCCTCCTCCTGAGGCTCTTTCTTACTTCCCCTTTCCAAGGAGTCACTTCCTGCTTTCCGATAAATCACCCAGGCTAAGATTTAAAAGCATGCTACCATGTTCTGATACACTACACTAGTTTCATTTTCATATCCTTCTAACCCAAATTGGTTTCTCATTGACAGGGCTCAGCTGCTCCCTCTCTCTCTCTCTCTCTGCATGCTGAATCACCAGATGGAAAGTCTAAGTCAAACTAGTATTATCATTTATTTCCACTGTGGAAATATTAAGCAGGTTGGAATTTGGTGATTTCTTTTGATTTTTAAAACAATAATACTATTATTAGAATAAAAATATTTGACAGTTTTTCTGAGAATGAATTTGGATTTCAAGGGGAGAGATAATTTAAAATCCAATCATCAGATCTCCAGTGAACCTCCGTGATTCACTGCGCTTGTGAGACCACCCCAATTTCACTTCTGTTTCTATGACAGAATACCCTGATAAAAGACAATGTGGAGAAAAAAGAGTATATTCAGTTTGCAATTCTAGGTTACAGTCTATTATGGAGGGGAAGCCGAGACAGCAGGGATCTGAAGCAGCTGGCTACGTCATATGCACAGTTAAGAGGAGAGAGAAGTGAATGCATGTATGCTGTCTGCTTGTTTGTGCTCAGCTTCATTTCTCCATTCAGCTTAAGACACCTTGATTAGGAAATGGTACCACTTACAGTGGGCTGGGTCTTCTACCATCAATTAACTTAATTAAGACAATCTCCCAACAGACATGCACACAGGTTAACCCAACATAGACAATCCCTCATTGAGACTTTCATATAAGGTGATTCTAACTTGTGTCAAGTTAGCAAAGATAATCATCACAAGTGTTCCCCTTCTCCATGCTCTTATTTTTTTTAAGAGACTTACCACTCATGTTTTAATAGAGTAATTTTAAACAAACATTTCTACTTTCAACCCATTGAACAAATAATTACAGCTGGAGGTCACAGTTTAATTTTTAATTTTTCAGGGAGTTTTTGTTTCTATTTAATCTTCACTAAAACACCAGCCAGTATGTTAGGTACTATGTTAGGCATCGGAGTTCAGATAAATATGCTTCTTGACTTTTCCTTCAGAGTCTGGGGAGGAAACTATAGGAACACAGGTAATGGTATTGTGAGTAAATTTATATACATGGTACTCAGTGGTTTTTTTGTTTTGTTTTGTTTTAACATACATAAGATTCTCCCTCATTTAGTAACTGTCAACTGCCAATAGCTCCTCAGTAAAGGGTAGGGCCAAGAGAGCATCTTTTTTCATCTGTGCTGGGATTTTGGCAAGTTTGATCTTAATGCTAACTCGTATGGGTAACTACAGCTGTTCACAGTACTCCTTGTTGTCCAGCTCTTACTGCTTCCTCATCCATGATGTTCCTTTTAGCCTTAGTGTGATGGAATGTGGGTTAATTAATATTGATACCCCACTGCAGGGCTGACCATTCAGGCTCAATTTCAGCCCTATTTTTCTTCTGACGGCTGCCCACTGCAAAAAGAGGCTTCTCTGAACAAAGTTGAGAGTCATCCAGGTCAATGGATATACAAATGAATATATAATTAATATATACATAAATATATAGAAGGTATTTGACAGCATGACCATTTAGCAAAATAACAATATAAAGTTTACTCCAGGGCCTAGAACCCATAAACCATGGACTGTAGTTTCTTAAAATTTGCTCCTGTAGCATGCCTCATTTCCAACCAGAAAGTGGTTACTACCACATAACAGGTGTGCCGCTATGGCACTAGTGGATATATCTTGCCTGAGAGGTCAGTGTTGCAGAATGCAGGGTCCGGTGTTGGATGAGAGCATTGATGTGTTTTCTCCCAAAGCAGCATATAAAACGTTTTCCAGCATTAGGAAATCTAGCCATCAGGGAAGCAGTTTCCTAGTAGGTTTGGGATTGGTTTCTCGATGTCCTGAAGCTAAAATGTGTGATAGCTGAAGACAGATTATATTGATGTCTTTCTTTCCAGATGGAAACACAGGGCTCTGACCATTACAGTCAATTATTCTTCAATGATAACTTAAATAAAATGGAGATATCATACTTGAAGAACAGTTGGAATTTGTACATGTTCATGTATATTAACTTTAGAAGCAACATGATATTTTACCTTTTGTAAGGACTTCATCTAAAGAGTTTTTTTTTTTTGTCTTCAGGGCTGTGTTCTGGGTGTATTATAAACAAACCTTTCAAAGCCAATATTAATGCCCTTATGTATGATGTGCCAATTCAGATGTAGTGCTTGCATGGTTTCTGGCAGATATTTCTTACTCTGCCCTATTTTTTTTCTGCTTAGAAATAAAGACAAAAGTGGGCCCAAATCAAGGGGCATTGCGGAGTCCCACTCCTTTGCTTACCTGGTCTTCCCAGGATGATCTATAATGAGATTTACTCTTTTTCTCTTGTTCGTAGAGACTGCTCCTTCTGTGGGGACACAGCCATATCTGACTGACCTGCTGCTGACAATATCCTACATGGACCCCAGCAATTATCCAGTAAAGACCCCTGGGCAGCTGTTCTGTCCTGATCTAGAGAGACTCCTGTACTTTTGTCTGCAGGAGTCTATATCGTTCTCCTGCCTTTGGATCATGGTTTCTTTTAGCCTTTCTTTCTAGACTGACACAGTAGTCTTAAAAGAAACATCCTTCTGGCTAGAGTCATTGTGTGAATTCCTGATGCACAACACACTCTGTAAAAAGTCACCTTTTCTCGTGATGGTTTTAGCCTTCTTTATCTCTGTTGTTTCCCCTTCAGTTCTGGCCAAGACAACAGGAGAGTCTAGGTGGTCTTTTGTATGGAAAAGGAAAAGGGTCTCTTCAGAACACAACCAGTCCTTTCAGGGCAACAAAATGATGATTATGTAAGAGGTTTTTTGTTTGTTTTGTTTTTACCTTTGTTTTTTTGTTTTGTCTTTTTTAACTCGACTCTAAAATGCATAAAGGAGTCCTTTTTGGATCCAGAGACGAAATGTAATGAGAGACCAGGATAAAGCCTTAGGATTCTTTTTAGCCTTTATTATCAAACTCTCCTGCAATCTGTTTCCTGTAAAGAAAAAAAAGCTGCTGTGCTTCCTCCTTGCTCATCACTGGCTGTGAGTTTGCTGATCTATGGTCTATGCATATGTGCACAACTTTAAATAAGCTAAGGATGTCAGTTAAGGTACTAAGAGGAAAGAGAAGAGGCACTCACAAGAATGTAAGGACGAAGCCACTTGAAAGGATATAGGTTAAATTTAAGGGACTCAAGGAAGAAGAGTAAAGGACCTCAGGACTGGCAATGGTTGGGGATGGGCTTCATCATCCCTAAGTTTGAAGAGGTTGGAAAAGAGAAGTTACCAGAACCCTAAAATAGAGCTGTTGAAGAACTGCACATAGTAGAGGCTTCCCCTGTCCTAGAGGGAAGTTACCACTGGCAATCCTTCCTGATGTTGAGAGCAGTCTCTGACATCACTATGACTCTTCTATCTTCATCTCTCTTGCCCGTCTCGTCCAAGATTCTCCTGCTACTTGAATGAAGCCCAAATTTGGAGGGGAAGGAAGCTGAGATGATGCAGTGAGCAAAGGTTGGCATTCCACAGCTTAGAGCAAGGTGACAAGGTCAAGGAGTGCACCTGGAGGGGTGATGCCAAAGATATTTGTCTCACTGGGTAAGTGTCCTCAGCTTGGGTCAGTTTTCAAGGTAAGAGAGCTTTCCTGGGGCAAATGTACTATGTTGGTGAGATCTCCTAAAAGCCTATAGAACTAAAATTTCCCACAATCCCATTTTCCTAAAATAGCCAAATCCTATAGTAAGTAGAAGATTTCCTTCAGTTTTGGGGTCTCCCTGCATCTTTGGCTTCCAGTTTTCTTCCAAAGCTTTTCAGCCTCCAGCATCATGATCTGGCAGAAGTTGCTCTTGTGGTAGCTGCATATAAGTAACTATGGTTTTCCTTGGTACAGCATTCCTTTCAGCAAGTGACGTGAAACCACAAATCAAGCCCCCATTTGCTGCCTTTCACTAGAGGTGAGCTTTCTCTACGAAACATCTGCTTACTGCTGGCCATAGGATGCTTCTCTTCTCCCATCTGCCACTCCCACCCTACACACCATGACTTCCTCACTCACCTCCTTTCCTTCAAAACCCACAGAACAATGACTACAGAGAAGACAGTGTTGTTATATAATCAGTTCTTTAAAGTCCATGTCAAGTGGCCATTTTAGACTTCTCTAAAGAAGAGGCTTGGGAGGCTGTGCCTCCTTCTCGGCACGGTGGTACAGTTTCTTGCCATAGCTGCTGTAGAATAATTACAGCATGACTGTGTGGCTCTCTACAGACATCTGCTCTGTGAGGGGAAACCAAAGCCCTTGCCAGAGGGCTGTCAGTTCCATGCTGAACACACATGCCAGGCCTCAGAAAGAGCATGATTAAACCCAGGAAGGAGATTAACACCAGTGCTGACCCCTTGTTAGGGACCAACGTGAGAAGTGCTTTGGAACCTGCACTCATACTCCCTTGCAGAGGTAAGTTTTGAAAGCCTGAGCCACACTGTGAAACCAAGAGTTTTTGTATCATGTGCTGAACAGCATGTTTGCTGTGGGGGCCTGGGAAAGGTGTTGACTGTGATGTGACAATCCCTTAGGAATGTAGTGACAGCATCACATTCTTCTTTACCAGGTTCCTGGGGCATATCTTTCTGTCCCACAGAGCCCTGTGCATGGTGGGACAGCTGAGGGCTGAGTGCAGTAATGGATGCTAGAGTTTCTGTAGACTGTAAAGCACCCCACACACACAGCACTCTGATCGCATCAGCCTTTGTTTATGGACAAGATTTGCCAAGAGCCCCCAGGGAGCTTCAGAAAAGAGAAGAAAATTATAAAGATTAATTTCATACTTTAGATAAAAATTAAATTCATTTATTTATAATTTAATATGTTAAACATTTAAAATATCTTGGAAATCCACTGAACTTTGCACTGAATACTTTATGTAATTTTTAATCCTTCTAAAAATCCTATGAAAGAGTCATTATTCCCACCACCTCCAGAGTCCATTTCCTTAATGTGAGAGTCCTGTTCTCTCTTGGTAGTGATTCACAGCTAATGAAAGTAGATGGGGCAGTGTAAATTGCCAGGGCTGGCTCTCTAGAATGGGCCTGCTGTTTTGTACATCTACATAAATCCTGCAGGACGAGGTGCTCAAACTTCTTTATTCAGGGCTGGAAAGAGCCACACAGAGCTGGAAGGCGTACTCCAGCATCCGAAATAGTCAGAGAAGTGGGGACTCAACTCTGCTGAAGAACACACAGTGCAAGTTCATATACGTTCCCTGGGAAACAAGAAAGTTTATAGATAGTGTCAAAATATCTATATTTTTATATCAAATGTGTTATATTTGTTATAAAATCATATATGATATATAAAAATACCACATATTTACATAGGTTAAAATAATTTTTAAGGCACATTTTTGTATTTACAGTCTCTCCCTTTATTACTACATTTTCATTTAATGTTCTTTGTGTATGCATATAGTTTTTGTGTATGCATGCATATGTATGTGGATGAACTTGCCCATGTGTGTATCTGTAGAGGTCAGAGGTTGACACTGATGTCTTCCTCTACTACTTTCTATTTTAATGTTTGAGATAAGGTCTATTTCTCAACTTAGAGCTCCCTGTTTATGTTAGGCTGTCGAGCCAGGCAGAGCCCTGTGGATCCACCTATCTCTACAGAACCCCTTCGCACAGGCACAGTGTCACACCCAGCTTCTCCATGGGTGCAGGGAATCAGAACTCAGATCTTCCTTCTTTTGCCACAAGCACTTGGTCTACTGTGCCATCTCTCCAGCCTCCTCATTTAACTTTGTTTGTCCTCAAGAATGAAATTTTCCAAAGCATTTGTCTTTTACTTTCCATTGAGTTAAATGTGTTTATTTTAAAGTGAAAGGACAGTTCACCTTTTACCAACTCAACCTATATTTATCAGATTCATTAATGTCCATAGATTACTGTAGCTAGAGTTTTCCTGCCTTGCCCACAGTCAGGACCAATCTTTGTCACCCGCCAGTCCCACAGCTGCTCAGACCCAACCAAGTAAAAACAGAGACTTATATTGCTTACAAACTGTATGGCCGTGGCAGGCCTCTTGCTAACTGTTCTTATAGCTTAAATTAATCCATTTCCACAAATCTATACCCCGCTATGTGGCTCCTGGCTTACCGGCATCTTCACATGCTGCTTGTCCTGGCGGTGGGTGGCAGTGACTCCTTCTGCCTTCCTGTTCTTTCTTTTCTCCTCTCTGTTAGTCCCGCCTATACTTCCTGTCTAGCCACTGGCCAATCAGTGTTTTATTTATTGACCAATCAGAGCAACACATTTGCCATACAGAACATCCCACAGCAGATTACCCATGATGCTTTGGTATCCAAGATAAACTATTCATCAAGTGGTATTGTTCCTTCAAGATGTGCTTATAGAATCGGAAACAAGATTTGTTTTCTCTGCATCTGCTTCCATCAGTCATTGGATAAGAGTTCTACCACAACAGTTAGGGTGTTACAGGGACACTTTGTTCAGCCTGGGTGAAGGGAGGAGGGGCCTGGCCCTGCCTCAATTGAATCTACCATGCTGAGCTGAATCCCCAGGGGAGTCCTTGCCCTGAAGGAGATAGGAATGGGGGGTGGGCTGGGGGAAGGGGGGGCGGGAGGAGGGAGGACAGGGGAATCTATGGCTGATATGTAAAATTAAATTAAATTATAAAATAAAAAATATTTGTTTTCACTCCCTGATAGCTGATAAACTCGAATTACACTAAAGAAAAAATTTCTCTTTATTCGTCAAATGAAAGTGCTCAGAGATCTCAAAGAAATCAATTTTCTAGTTTTTGAGGCCTCTTATCCATAAGTGCAATACTGTTTGATGGCATTGTCAGCCTCGTGAGGCAGTAACGAAAACTGCAGCATTTCTCCCTAAATATTCTTGAAACAACTTGGTAGACAGATAGATTCTAAGTCTGGCTCAAAGCTTTATTGCAAACTAACCACGGGGGTGAGACCTTTATGTGCACCACTTCGGGATTCTCTGTGGGGATCCAGTGGGAAAAGTGAATGTTAATCTTTGTTAAACTGGCTACAAGAAAAAATACTGTCTGCTTAAAGGCTATTAGGCTGGCCAGCCAGCTGGGTGGGTAACCCTGGCTTCCCAGAAGTCCTTAATCTCATTTAGATCCATCAGAAGTGTGTTCAAGCATTCTAACAGCAATGCCAATTACTTCCCAGAGGAGGTGGTGAATTATACCACATAAAAAGTTCGGCCCTGAGACCAGGTAGAGAACAATTTTTGTTCTCTGTGTGATTATAACTTATGCCAAAAGGTATCATCCATTTTGGGGGTTTTTAAATAATAATTTTAACCTAACATTTGATTTAAGGTGGCTTGCCCTTCTGAAATAAAGCTATGAAATGCTTAAAAGTATCTTGCAAACTTTCTGCTTCTTGACAGAAATGCAGTAGTTCTGAGGGGTTGGTGCTAACATGAACTAATTTCCAAACAAACCCCCAGAGTCCCTTGGCAGTTACAGGAAACACATAGTAAAGTGTACCATGGGCAGTCAGCAAGCATCATCTCAGCTGGGGGGAACACTAAAGTGTGTTAATCCTAATTCCTTCAACAAGCAAACTACAAAGAGTGGGAGGAAAGGAGAGGGGAGAGGAAGACAGACAGCGCCTAGATTAACACTTGAAAATCTTGCCACTCAATTATGGTATGTGGATTTATTTGGATCCATAGTCTAACAAATACATTATGAAAAGAAAAGTAGGCTGTTCAATAAAGCAGCTGAAAATTAGTGCTCTCATTGATTATTTCACATTAATAGGTTGTTGCTTATTTTTAAAATGTAATGATGCTGGGTTTGTGTGTAAAGAGCCAGTTTTTGTATTTAAACTATAGGTATGCTATGAAAAATATGCAGATGAAATGATACATTGTCTGTGATTTTCTTCAAAATGATACTTGAGGGAGAGAAGTGGGTTGGAATAATGATGAATCCTAATCAGCCTGAATTGGCAATTACTAAAGTTGGGTTATGAGTTTTTGAGAGGTTTGTTTGTATGTATGTATGTATGTATGTATGTATGTATGTATGTATGTATTCATTCATTCATTCATTCATTCATTCATTCATTCATTCAGTTTTTACAAGTCTGCCTGCATTTATATTTGCTAGAAACCCTCAATAGAAAATCTAAACAAAACTAGACCATCAGAAGTGAGTCTTTGGGCTGTTGGTAACTTCACTGGTTCTCTGTCCAATTCTTGTTTTAGAGCTGGCAGCCCCATTGTTTTAGGCCTGGTCACAAAAAAAGCAGGTGCCACAGCATCAACCCCCACTGCAGTCCACATGCAGATGACATGCCAGCAGGTAGTGTAAAGGTAACTGTGTCCTTTGGAGCACAGCGTAAAGAAAGAAAGCAATCACAATGAGGCACAAAGAAATACCCTGGGCTCATGTGTTGCTGGGGGAAGGGGGCATTTATCTTTCTTTTGGAAATAAAAACTCAATGGTTAACTGTGGGTAGGAAGGAGGAGCATAATTAGGAAAGAACATGGTCCCACATCTGTCTGAGAGCAGAATAGTTCTCCCACAGGCTGAACCATATCAGGGCCTC